TTTAGAATATCAATGAAATAAATTAGCAATTATTTTCTTGTGCAAGAGATTTGGAAATGAACAAGAAAACAGAATCCTTGAAGCAAAGACAAAACAAAGGAGGGGCAGCCCAATTTTGGTCTGAGAAAAATGCACTGCTTTTCCATTTGTTTCTCCTTTTAATCCGTATCACCCAATTAGAGAGTATTTTCTTAATTTCTGTATCAGTATTTATTCAGATATAAAATGTATTCAGATATTACAATTATACAGTTTTAAAATAGCCCATGGATAGAATCTGTATAGATAAGGCTCAACAAAACTAAATTTAGAATCAAATGACTTTCAATCACTGACAGGTTTTATGACAGTGAGGTCATCTTTTCAAGTTCTTTTTCAGTTCTCACAAAAATCTGCCAATCACACCATTTGCTTTCCAATTTCTTCTTTTACAAGAAGGTTTATACTGTAGAGGATTGTGCAGTCCTCATGAAGCAAGAAAGGAGCTTACAAGAATTCAAAGCAATCACTGACAGATAGTCTTAGCAAGAAGATGTCCATCAGGGCTTGAAGAACCAAAAACTACTGAACAACAACTGTTCAGCCTGCTATCTTTAATGTTCAGGGCAAGATTTTAATGTCTTCATCTTTTTGAAAAAAAAGTAAATGAAATAAATGTACTTGACTAACTTGTAACAAGCAAGAAAAAGTGCTCATTGGCTAGGTGCATCAGAAGACTCTAGTATAGCTTGAAGCAAATACTGAGACTATTTGGAATAGCATGACCTCAATCCTGGGGCAGAAAATCCTGCAATCTTACATATGTCTATAAGATTATTCCCATACAAATGGATGAAGAACTGAGCCAACAAAATTCTTATGCAATCTAACTTCCTGGAAGTGCAATTAAGAGAGTAGTATGCCTGCAGTTATTTTTAGTGAAATTACTGCCTGCATTAGTTCTTTACCAATGTTAAGAATACAGATAGTTAATAAGCAGCTACTAAGAATTCTACAGAATAATAAAAGGAAGTATAAGTGAGTGATAAGAGTCCAAAGTAATAGACTAGGTTAACCTTTGGTATATTAAAAAAACAGAAAGGAACAATATTTGTCCAATGTATATTCATAGTTAGTCCAATTACAGGGCAGTTATATGTATCTGATTATCATAAGACAATGAAAAGCAGAACTGCAAATAAATTATCTAGGTATCAATCTGCCCCCCCCCCCAATCCCCTGACATTTAAGGGATCCATCCTTATGGTCTGAAATTGGTTGTTTTCTTGCAGACATTTCATTACCCAAACTAAGTAACATCATCAGTGCTAGTATTAAGTGGGGTTTCCTCTCATTTTATACTCTAGTGGCTTGCCTTATAAGTGTTGGTGGGAGGGTTCTTGGTGGTTCTTTGCTTCAGCTGTTTACTGTTAGCTTGTTTGGCAGTTCCTTGATTGAGGTATTATATGGTTCTTAATTCTTAGTCAAATGTTAATCTTGGTGTTAATCTATGATCATTTGGAAGTTGACTCTGATAAGTGTTCTGGTCTCTTTGTTCTCACTTTGGCTGATTGTTTCTTTTGAATGGTAAAAGGTTGTGGTTTATGTCAATGTGCCTGTTGATGGCTGATTTGTCAGAGTGCCAGGCTTCCAGGAATCCTCTAGTGTTTTGGGAACTTGGCTTCGTCTAGGATGGTCAGTTTCCCAGTTGAAACTATGGTTTTCTAATTTCTTCTGACTGCTAGTCGGTGTTCATGGATGTATAGTCTGCACTCTGCCTAGGCCAGAACATCTCCTCACCAGCAATCAAACACCCAGATGGTCAGAGATTAGCACCAAGATTAACATTAAACTAAGAATCAAAAATAAAATAATACCCCAAGAAGAAATTGCCAAACAAGCTAACAGTAAACAGGCCAACCAAAGAACCTCTAAGACCACTCCCACCAATACTGATAGAGCAAAACACTAGAATATAAAATGAGAGCAAACCTCACTCTCTACTAGCACTGATGATATTATGTAGTTTGGGTAATGAAATGTCTGCAAGATAACCAGAGAGCACAAAGGACCCCTTATTTCAACCCTAAGATACAAATATTCTCCTCTCTCAATACTGACATTTAAGTAGGGTCACCACACCTAGATTCAGACAGCCACAAGATGGCATTGTGTTAAAGTTTCCTGTGCATCTTTGTTTCCATCCAATGGTCATCTAGATTCATGCAGCCCAGGTATGACAGCTCTACATTAAGATACAAACATGTAATACCATATGAGAAAAGATAATTTAAGGCAAATGTAACGTAGAACAACATTTTCCTGAAGAATGGATATACATAAGGGTGAAAAAAATAACATATTTTCAGAGAAAATTATGCAGGTTGGTAAGAATAATTGTCCAAAACATCATCAATATCATCCAATGGAGGTTAGTGACATTTATTCTAAATCAATAAACACTGTTGTCTAAGAACTATATTTCTCAGTAATTTGCTAGGTGCTAAGGAAATGCAAGAAGAGGGAATTCTTTATATAAATGGCATTCACACATTCAGAGGAGCTAAGGAAAATATTAGAAAGCCCAGATTTTAAAAATAATACAGTATTCAACATTTTTCAAATGACTTTGCTTAAAGAAAAGAATTATTTTTATGATTCTTGCATTTTCAATTCATTTTAAAAGCACATTCTTGATTAAATTCCTTTTCAGGGGCCCAAAAAAGATACATGGATTTCTTACCTTTGATGAAGACATATACCTGAATCATTTCAAACACTCTTTATGAAATACATAATTTTTTTCTTTCCTTTTCTGTTAGTTTACTGTAACAACTGAATGAAAGAACAGGCTTATCTAAAACACTACACTTTTTGGGCAAATGAGCAGCAAATAAGAGTGCTTTCTAAAAACCTTTAAGCAAATATCATTTTAACACTATCTTCATAGAATAAGAAATACAATGCCAGGCTTGAAAGTCCCCAAATCCCTTTCTCAATTTTTTGGCAATCTATTAAATCAATGTTTTTTACTTAAAAAATTTGTCCAGGACTGAAATGGAAGCCAAATATTGACATGTTTGAAAACTAAAATAGTCTCATTGTATTCAAAGTTACCTTGGTTCTGGCTGAACTTAGAAATGAAATGATCATGAGATTTGTTTCTACAAGAGAGTTTAGAGTCCAGGGGTGTAATCTGGCTGCGAGCCAGAGGCATCATGCGCAAGCCATGGCCACCCCAGCTCCGCAAGGGCAAAAACCGTTGTGACATATCACATGACATGACATCACGTGATCAAGTTTGACACCCGTGGTTTAGACTCATCTGTTGGTCTTCAGGCATGTTGGATGCATTGGCTAGGAATTCTGGGAATTGAATTCCAACAAATTTGGACAGGGTCAAGTTGGGAATACTTGCTGTACACATTAAGAGGTATGAACACCTTTATAAATCCACATATCTAGCTTAATGATAATTTCAAATGACTACCCTGATACCATATTATGTGTGACAGGTTTTTCAATGAGGGGCCTTTATATGTGGTATTTTTAAATTTTTGGTTAACCCAGCTATGTCTTGCTTGCTCTTTTGTCATTAAATGAAAGTTAGGGGGATAACATATATGTGCTTTTAAGGCTTTGTGGCATTTTTAACAGACCTTTCTGACAACTTGATAACAAGTGTACAAGAATCCATTTGGGAAGCTGTAATATTAAGCCTACTTCAGGTATTCTTTTGTTAAAATTAATTGTTTTAATTTGTACCGTCTATTTTTATTAAGATCTTTACTATTTACAGCACTTCAACATTTTAAAATCCTGATGTAATTAACAAAAAATAGTACATTATACACATTTTAATCATTTACATGGCAGCATGAATTATACTTTAGATTTGTGGAGTGTAAATGTGGATTCCTTCTCAAATATACAGTATTTCTACTTATGCAATTCAAAAGCCTTATTTCCTTTCTTTTTCTATCACAAAAATAACATTAAAAGTGCACTTAAGTAATTTCTTCAGAACGCTGCAGTTTAAACTGGAACTTTAATGTTCAGATACACATCAACGAATACCAAACCCTTTGGGTCTAATTCATATACCAGCACATCATAAAAGACTGAAAAAACAAGTGAAGGCGGCCAAGGTCACCTTTTGTATTTGGTCACTATACTGTGCTGGGATCGGTACATTTTCCCAAGATGGCTCCACACAGCTTAATTTAAAAAAAAGTAAACCGGATCGCAGCGTTGGGCCTGAGCCTCCCGCAAGACCCGTACATATTTTTTTTCACCCCGCTGTCCTTCCACACATGTAGCAAGTATAGTAAACTGAAAAGGGGACCCGAGAGAACTTCCTCTGTGGCCTTGAATGACTGAGACTTGGCTCAAGGCCTCAAAGACTGGAAACCCGGAAAAAGAGTCGAGCGGTGGCCACGCGCGCGTCTGAGGGGAAAAGGAGGCGTCGGGCGTTTCTGCCGCCTCCCGGCGCGAGGCCCCCACTTTGCCTCCACTGTCAACATATAAGGAATGGACAAAGCCGGTAACATAGAAATTACGGGCCCGGGGGAAAAAAGACAAGAGAAGGAGCCCCGCTGCCCTTCTCCAACCCGCTCAGGAGCTGACCTGCCGGCTGCGCCGGGAAGAGGCGCGGCCCTCTCGCATGCGCGTGCGAACACGCTCTGCGGTAGACTGAGAGGGAGGAAGGGAGGGAGGTGGAATCTAGAGCGCGCGTACGCGCGTCTCCCCCCCCCCCCAATGGTCGGGACGGCGTAACAAGCAGGGTTAAGGCGTGGCCGATACGCCGCGCGAAGGAGCGCGCGCCGACGGCGGTTAGATTAGAGCAGTCATGGCATTGGCAGGGGACGAAGAAGCGAAGGGAGAGAAAACCGCGGGGTGGGTCGGAGGAAAGAGAGAGAGAGAGGGAGAGAGAGAGAGATGGAAAGTGTAGGCGCAGGCGCGTGCCCGCGCGCGGTTGCCATGGTGCCGTTTGACGTCATGGCTCTGTGTTGCCCGTGCGTTGCGACGCGGTGATTGGCGGAGACCTTGTGTGTGGCGCTGAGAGAGCGAGAGCGAGGCTGCAGCGGAGCGAGCTCCGATATAGGCACAGTCGGCGCCGGTCCACCCGCCTAGAGACTCCGGTACCCCTCAACCTCGCAGGTAACGGCCTACACGGGACGCTCTTTGGCCGTCTTTGCCTGGCGATCTCCCTCCTTTCTTGCTGCGGAAACCGTAGGTGGGGCAGCAGCAGCGGGAGCCGCTGAGTGGGCACAGGAGACCGCAAGGGAGGAAAGGGGAAGACGAGGGCAAGGCGGTGGCTCGCCGGCCCCATTCTTCCTGGGGCAGAAGGGCGGCGGCTCCCGGCCCTCCGCCGGGCTGACTCGTCCGAGGGGCCTTGCTGGGGAAAGAGCCATTCATTCTCTGGCGGCGGCGGGAGCCTCCTCTCCTTCAGCCCTCGCACAGGTGCGGCCGGCCCCACCTGCCTGGGCAGCCTCCCGCGCCTCCCCTTGTGGGGAGCGGGAGGAAGTAGCGCGGCTTTGGGAGGGAGCCCTCTGCCCGGAGCTAGGCGGTGGCAGGTGAAGCCGTGGGGCGGTGCCCCTTTCTCCACGCATCCGGAGCGCTGGGGTGATTATCGCGTTGGAGCGGGCGGGCGGGCGGGCTGGGGGTCGACGTTGGGAAGGAGCTGCGCCCCCCCACCTCGCTTCCCTTCGCCCAGTCCGGCTCCCCTTTTTTTCCCCACCCGGTGCCAGGGGGAGGAGGGGGGAGAACAACCTCTCCGTGAGGGCGGCGGAAGGCGTAAAACGAGGAGTGCCCTCTGAGGGCGCCATGTTGGGGAGTCGGGTGGCTTCTCTATTCCTCCCCGCATCTCTTCCCTCGGGAGGCGGGGGGAGGGTGGGCTTCTCCTTCCCGGCCCGGAGTGACTGCAGGGTGGCTTCTAGGGTGTGGCCTCCCGCGGGGAAGAGGCGCATCCAACCGGTGCGATCCGCGGCTCGCCGCCGCATAAAAAGATCCGCGGGGCCGCCGTGAAAGGAGCAGCCTCCGCCGCCGCCTCCTCTTCTCCGGGCGGGGGAGAAGGAACGCCAGAGGACGGTGGTGGGCTGGTAGCGGCTCATCGCGGCGGTACCAGAGGCCCCCTCGGGGCGGGATGGCGCCGCAGGGCAGGGAAGGAGCGGGGCAGGAAGGCAGGTGGGCGGGCGTGTCTCCTCGTCCTCCCGCTGTTAGGCGCCGCCTGGGCTTCCCCTTTTCTTCGGTTTGCAGGGGCGGAGATGCTGCATCTCCCTCCCGGCGCGGGGCGGAGGTGAGGGGGAATTAACGTGCACAGAAGTGGGCTGGGCTCTGACACGAATCCGCCATGACAAAGAGCCCAGACAAGGCGCTTCACGTCTTGAGAGCCGGGCGGGCGGTTGCGGCGCAGGGAGGAGCGAGCGACCGAAGTCTGGCCTGGCTTATCTTGTCCTCTTCCTCCTCGCCCACACCTCGGTCGGATTCGGAGGTTTTGTGTGCGCTTTAGCTTCGCCGTTCGGTCTCCTTCCGAGCTGTGCCAATGTATCAACCTACCCGTGGCCAAACAATCAGCACCATTTTATACAGTCTGTTATACAGGGAATTGCTCCGTTTTTTCTCTCCCCAGCTCCCCACCTCACACACATAACTAGTTCCCTTTCACTTAAAAAGCAGAAGGACCATCCAGCCGTGAGGCACCGAGCCACTTGAATTTTAAATATTATTTTCCCGTTTTAGAATTCTCTGGCATTAAATTTTATTGTAGATCAGAAAATTACAGACATTATGTTTCTTTGAAATACCAAGATTGTGGTAGATTACAATCACAAGTTTTTCGAACCAGAGCAGCACTGTTAGTATAGGTCAAAGATTATAGCACTCCTTCATTCTAGGATATTTAAATAGACCCAAGTTTTGTCCAATGTAATAGCTTCCTATTATAATCTTAACATATAGTTTGGAATCTGTTTGATTTAACTATATAGTAGTTACATTTAGTGCTTTTTAAATTTAATGATAAATAATCAAAATGTTCTTAATTGTGTATAAGGGTGGCAAGAATGTAAAGCAGCTGATACTGTCTGCAACTTGAGTTTCATTTGAAAAAGAATTGACTTTGTCTAATGAAATTCCTAACATTGCAAACTTTTAAAATGGATGTCTCAAAATAGCAAAGCTGCTTGAAATAAAGAGTCAGGATCATCTAGGGATAGAAGGTTGAAGCTTTCAAGGGAATGCTTTGCATTCCTTTTTTGGAGATCTTATAAAATTTCAGAGATCCAAATTATTCCTATATACTTACTGAGTAGAAAACAAATACATTTTCTTCCTGTTTTGACAAATTTATAAGAATTCAGTTTGCAATCTTATAGTCTTCTTGGATTAATCAAATTCAGTTACATGTGTTTTTCAAGATTGGAGCCTAAACAATCTGTCCATGCCCTTGCTAAGAGACAATGCCAAATGCTTTTGTTTGGTAGATATTGGATAATATTTTGATATTTTTCATTCTGTAGAGAGATCAGCATGGATAAAAACGAGCTGGTGCAGAAGGCCAAACTGGCCGAGCAGGCTGAGAGATATGATGATATGGCAGCCTGCATGAAGTCTGTGACTGAGCAAGGAGCAGAATTATCCAATGAGGAGAGGAATCTTCTCTCTGTCGCTTACAAAAATGTTGTAGGAGCAAGAAGGTCATCTTGGAGAGTTGTCTCAAGTATTGAACAAAAGACAGAAGGTGCCGAGAAAAAGCAGCAAATGGCTCGCGAATACAGAGAGAAAATTGAGACTGAACTAAGAGACATCTGTAATGATGTGTTGGTAAGAATTCATTTTAATTTTTTTCTTAACATTTAAGAGTGGGTAAAGTCTTGTTTAGGCAAACTCCAACATGTTTAAATGTGGTTTTTTAAAAATTTCTTATAAATCTGTTGTAGTGTATATAAATCTGTAGAAAATCGGAGAGTAAAATAATTTTCCTTTTTCCTAAATCTTATACCTGGAAATTTATCATGTTATTTAGATATTGCAGTAACATGTTAAGTCTTGCTGACAGTGTCAGTGTTCAAATAATTTACATTTCACTAAAGATAAATGAAAAATGTTTGATCAGTTAGTACTTTGGGAAAATAAAATATTTCAATTTACTTTTATAAGCTATCTTATCTATTACCTGTGTAACCTAGAGGATGTATGCTTTGTATGAGAAGTTGTAATTTTCACTACAGAAATCAGGCCCCTCCCTAAATAAGATGATGTAATGCTAGCAATGACTCACCCCTATAGAGCACTTTTAAACAGGGGAAAGAGAAAGCAGCAACAGTCTACTTTAGATTGTAAGATCCAAGAAAGTTTTCCAAAACTGCACCATTGGATCTTAAACATGATTGTATGAATTAAAAAAACTAGCAATACCAAATGTGCTTTTTTTAAAGTCTTATTTTTTGATAAACCAGCAATTTATTTTGTGTTAACATGAAAAAAGTAAAATATTTAACATTGGATATATTTCAGTAACAACTTTCTTTTAATCAATCATATTATCATAATTAATATACATCTTAATATATTGTTTAAGTATGTCCAAAAGCCATATTTTAAGCATATTAATTTGAAGGTCATTCATTTACCTTGGTTTTTCTCCATATAAAAGCCTAGAGGAAATAAGAGTGATAATCACATGAGAGATAGAACTTAAATGAAATAGCATCTTAGCCCGTTACAGCACACAGGGAATATATGATGACAAATTCAGACCTTTCCTTTCCCATCTGACTTTATTCTGGCATGTGAGCTGTAGTTGAATTTAAAGAATTTCCTTCTTTGTACTATGTTTTGCCCTCTTTGTGTCCAAGGTTGTAAACTATAATTTTTTTAGAATCACATATGAAAACGTGAAATAGATAGGGGAAAATATTTTATGGTTTATCTCTTATTTTATATGGAGATTCTTTTCAATGAGATCACTCTGAGAGAATGACATGGAGACTAACTCATGCAAACCAGGGAGATTAAAATCATTAATGCATGAATTGAACACAATTCTAGATTCTCCTTTTATCTCACAGGCTGTGGTGCTACACTTATGTCAGTTCCCACAATTACAACTGGCATGGAATTATGGAGTTTAGCAATCCATACTTGATGCTTGCTAATGTTGTGATGAAGAGCCCCAGCCACCACTTCATGGTCTCAGGAATAGAGGTTATTCTCCTCCTTATGAAGAGTTAACATCTCTATTCCAGCCCTAAACAGCATGAGATTTATTGCTGAAATTTAATATAATAGTGTTGGAAAATACTCCATCCATTCGCCCCAACGTTGCCTCAAATTAAGGGATTATAAAGTTATAACAAGAAAGCGATTTGTTTTTTTGTTTTTTTTAGTGTTAGAAAATACTGTATAGTACCTGTCAGGGATGTAGCACAAACTATTCATAGACACCTGAAAACAATACTGACATTGAATCTTGCTCAATTACTCAATTATTTGTAACTCAATTTGTCTTTTTCTGACTTTGTCTTACTATTATTTTGCCTATCTGGAAGCCTTTGCTTCAAGTGAAATATATAGGTCTGTGCAGAAAGGAAGGTTTCCTGGTGACCACAAATTTTGCCTTTGGCTAAGTTTAGGCAAAAGTATAACTAAGTGCATTAGCTCCCAATCAGTAGTTCCATACAGTTCCAACATAGCTGTAATATTTATTTCTTGCCACAGGGAAGAATAATTAAGACTGAATGATTTGCCCCCTTGGTAGTGATGTAATTGATTTGTGATTTCAGAGCAAATTTTGTGGATTTCTGGTCATACTTTTATAAAATGCTAAACAATACTGTGAAGGGTTTTGACGATTGAATATATTTAATTCCATTTGGCATATTTGGTTTTGGGAATGGCTAGAAACCAGGGATTAGTCTGAAGCCTTCTAGCTGCTTTGACTTCAATTTCCATCACCCTGACAGCACAATCAGTGATAAATATAGTACAGAAAGATTTCTGATAAAACTTACTTTTCTAAAACCTGTTAAATAGAAAATAAGACTTATCCTAAAACTGATCACTCAATTTTTTGGTTGAATATTGTCAATCTTTTATATTTTCTTTTCGTCTCCCCCCCTTTCTTTCTTACAACATGGAGTTTTTAATTTTTCTTGATGAAAGACATCTGAAAATTATAAAAACAACTATAATTTTGTCTATTTGTGGTCAATGCTAATAGTTAATGATTGTGGATTTTGGAAATGTTTAAATAAAAGCATTTTTAATATTTTAGCAGATGAATAAAAAATCCATTTTATATCTTGTAAACCTTCCAGAATCGTTGAGAGTTACTCTGTGCGTGTGCATGTGTGCATGTTGAAATGTGAGGTATCTTGTTTTTAAACCTGGAATTATTAGACAATTTCATTGAATGGCTTCATTTACATTTTTTCCAAGCATTTAGATCTAGATTTCAAAATGATATCTTAGCTCATCTAATTAAACTATATCAGATAATATTCTAGACAAAAAGATAAACAAAAAGATCTATGTTCACACTACCATTGGTAACTTTCTTTTCTTTATACAGAGAGCAAAAATTCTACAATTTTGCAAATAAACTAGTGAAGTTGCCAGAATCAACTGAAGTAATTGTCACTAATCAACTAAGTTTTTCAATCCATTATATTATTGAACTATAATTTCTGCATATTATTTATAATGTCACAAAGATGGACAAGTCTATTTTACAGCAATCATATAATATTGAATCATGATTTGTTTGAAGTGAATTCCAGATGAAAAATTATTAAATGATAAACAAAAAGGATGTTTTATTACATGTAGTGGTAATTTCATTTTTAGTAAGTGCAAATAAATGAAAGGTGGAAGAAATACTCCAGTGGAATCACTGTATAGTAGTTGCTAATTTATACATGTGTTTTTCATGTAGTTATCAATGGAGAAGCATTGTTATGACCAAGAAAATAATACTCTTAATCAGTAATAAATTCAGCAAGTCAGGGTGACAGTTGAGATATACTGTAAGGCTAACTTTACCATCATAAAAAACTGCATCCTTACACTGGAATGAATTTCTTCCCAAAGGTTAAACACAGCCTTAAAAGTATATTATTAGCAGGATTGGGGATACACTTTGACTTCAAGAACTGGTTCTGTGAAGAAAACATTTTCAAAATTCTAGAAACCTCAGTAGCCTGCAAGTGCATATGGAGATTTGTCCCTCATTCCAGTTTCATTGAGCTGGAAATCAATAATGCTAAAGCTTAGGAAGTTGCAAGGTGTCACACTTTAAAAAAAAATGAATTTGTCAGAATGGACATATTTCAGAACCCTTAAGATTTCCAAGTGTTCACTAAAGTTAATGTACTCTTTCATCTCTAATTTTTCGTCAAAAATCAGTAATGCTAATTGATTAGGTATAAGTCCTCCAGAATATTCCAATGGAATAAAACTGAAGAATTCACTTAAGTAATATAAAGTTTACAGTTGCCTTGATGTATTTAGAAAGAGCAATATAGAGGGGACTGTTCACTCTTACTTATAACTGCATTGCTCTTAGTTAGACACATTTCTTTGGGACAAGTGAAATATTTCATCAAAAAGGAAGTAGAACATTAATAGTGAAATTCATCAGTAGTATAATTACTGAAATCCCAGTTGATTTTAATGCTCATTATCAGCATCTGCATATGAGAAACTGAATACCCAAAAATTGGTTTCTTCCTTCATCATAATAGGCCAGCAAAGAATCTTAAATAGAAGGTTAATTTATTGGAACAAAGTTCTTTGTCATCTACAATTTACTTGCCTGAGGGGGGAGGGAGAGAATCCAAACCTGCAATATAATTATATAATAGGTCAGTTTTGTAGTGGTAGGACTAGGAATTCAGTTCTGAATAAAATCTAAAGTCAAACTATATCATATTGTATAATATAAATATATATAATCAGACATTTAATAAATTATTTGATATAATTGTATTTTAAAACTAAATTATCTAATTTATGTTATTCTGTTTTTTGTTTTTGATTTATATAAATAAGAAACTATATCAATATTGTAACTATAGAAAATTATTTCTACTTACTACATACGATTTTGAAGTGTTATGCACCTCTGCCTACATATTCTGCCTTCTGAGGTTCAGATTGGTTTTTGAGAAAATAGTGTGATTTCAAGAAAGAAAAATGTGTGGTGACAGCAAGCATTTCAGCCATAGTTGTTGCATTTTGGGGTTTAGTAAATAAGTGGACAAAGCTGCAAGCTTATAGTAGCCATAACGCTATATACTGTAAAGTGCTAAAAGTAATAAGTGCTATTCTATCATTGAGAATATATTCTTAATTGTTCAAGGATTTTCAGTATGCTAGGGGTTTAGACATGGGTTGGGCAGAACAAGCAATGTATTAGCTAATGATGTGCCACTTCATGATTTATTTATGTAGCTATAGTGACCATATAATAGTTGATTTGTAAACTAATATGCTGTGTGCCAACTTTTGGGAAAGGTATTGAAACATAGAATTATTGAAAGAAGAGCATATTAATAAGTATATAGTAATAGGGAAGACATTTCTTTACTGTATGAAAATATAGTATAATATATTAAAAATAACGTTGGAATTAAAAAGTATAAAATTTAGAAACATGTTAATATTGCCAGCATCAAAGAAAATGGTACAAGATTCTTGAACTACAGTCACAAATTTCATGGCTTACCTGCAATAATGAATGACATCCTTTCCCTATATTTCATATTATTTGTAAGAAAGTGGCTTTCAATCAAAGCTCTCTTAGTACTATAAGCATCTCATCCAAATTTATGTAAAGGTGCCATAGTGAACAAATGAACATTTGGTGGCAAAAGAGATTTCAAATATGCACATGGAAGAGAGATTATGGTTAAAATGTTATTTATCACTTGGATTTTTGCCATAGCTAGGTTCCAAGTACATGTTTTCCCATAAAAATGGGCAGGAGGGAAAGAGGCTTGGTGAAAAATAAGTGGTAAAGGGAAGATTATGGGCAGTGGAAAAGTTAGATGAGCACACAGCTGCAATGCCATCACCTTTTTCTCATATCAGTCACATGTTACTTGATAATTTTGCTGCCAGACATATTTTTCCTAGAGTGTAGTTTCTTATGATTAGATAGAGAATGTTGGGCAATAGAGACATTTTTTTTACAGTGGCAACAAACTGCAAGAAGTGCTGTTCACTAATAATTAGTGCTGATATATTTATGTTTGAGTTGATCATTGTTCATTACAATTTCAAGAGTTTTGATTCTGCAGTTGGAAAGTGCATAGAGTTGCTTTTACAGATAGAGACAACAGATCTTGGTGTTCAGAAGAAAGCTGAACTTATCCCCTTTCTTCCAGTTTAGCTCTGTCAGTATCCATGCTAGCTGCTCCTTTTCTTTCAGACACATAGACCAGATTCTAATAACACTTCTTTTACACGTGCTTGCTTTTTTAAAACTGATAACACTTTGTTTTCTGCTGGGGTCAGATAATATGTTATAAAGCTTAAACTTATTAATAGAATTAATAAATTCTGTTATATTCAGTCTTTATTAAAAATGTGAGATTGGCTTCAAATTATTCTCTCTTCTAAGAAATGCTAGTCAGTTTAAATTCTTAAATAACATTATTTTCTTAAATATTAAAGTTATTAGATTGCTAGCCTATTGAGGCTTCAAGATGATTGTGGGATGGAAATTTCTCTGCCAGTGTCTTCATTTTTATACAGAAGATGAATAGAAAGCAACAGCTATTCTTTACCAGTCTTATTCTTTCTATGAAATTTCTGGTCATTTATGTTTAAATTTGCAGCCTCCAGAACTTATTTACTGTATAATGGTCTATTTGCTTCCCTCCCCCCTTCACTTATTTTTTTGAAAGAGGTGCCAAAATGAACTCATGTGGCATTCATTTTTTGTTACACTTTTGAAAGTAACTATTGATCAGGTGCCATCAGATTATTGTTGAATCTGTTTACTCAATACCAATCTGTTCCTAACCAGGTCTTTCAAGAGTAGCTAAGTATATCTACCTCGTTCCTAGTCAACTTTTCTTTCATTTCTCCTTTCCCAGTGTTACAGTCGTTTCCAGAGAGTTAGGTTTTCACATACTTTGTCCAAAGTAGGAAAATTTGAGCCTAGTCATTTGTGGCTTGAGTGAGAACTCTGAGGTGATTTGTTCAATGATCCATTTGCTTATTTTCTTGGCTGTTCACAGTATTTTCAGAAGTCTTTTCCAATACCAAAGCTCATAAACATCAATATTCTTCCTAATCTCTTTATTCAAAGTCCAGTTCCTGCTTCCACAAAATGTCACAAAGTATACCTTTGCTTACACCCACCTGCTGTTGCCAAGTATAGATCCATCAAGGCAGTTGAATATTTTTTCCAAGACCTTCATAGTTGCTCTATGAAGTGCTACTCTGGTTTATTTCTTAGTTGTTTGGTTGTTTTGTTTTAGTGTTTATGGTTGATCCTGAAAGGCAGAAGCTATCTACCACTTCAGTATCTTTATGGCCAATTCTGACACTTGATCTTTGTATTTAATTTTAGCTCCATGTTGTAACTGTACTGCTTGACTTTTCTTACTAAAGTTTGCGATTCTTTGCATTTTCAGCTATCAAGAATAGTATCATCTGTATAGGCTATTGATGTTTCTTCCTCCAATTTAAAAACACATTCAACTTCTTTCAATCTACCTTCCCTTAATATATATTCAGCAGGTAGGTAAAATAAATAAGGGAGACTATGAGCTTTGCTTTACTCTTTTGGCAACCTGGAATCATCCTATTTCTCCATGTTCTGGCTAGGTTTCAGAAGAGAACAATAGGATATTCTGGGGTTCCCATTTTTCTCAGCACGTTCCGCAGTTTGACATGGTTTACAGACTCAAATACCTTTCTATTATCAATAAAGTGCAAAATGACAATACCATTTTTTTTGTATTTGCCTTTCTCAATTATCCAGTGTGCATCAGCAAATAATGTGTTTCTTGGCCTTTTTCTAAAGCCAGTTTGAACATCTGGCATCTCTTTTTCCACTCTGGGCTCTAATCTGTAGTGGATGATCCTAAGCATTATTTGGCTAGCATGTAATATTAAGTACATTGTGCAATAGTTCACATACTATTAAGTCTCTTTTTTGTATTGGAATGCAGATTGATCTCTTCCTATCTGTTAGTCATTGTATCATTTTTCTATTTTGCTAGCACAATTTGGGTAGAACCTTTACTGAGGCTCCTGTTGCAATATTTTTGCGAGTATACACTCCAAATGATTTGGAACTTTTTGCAACAGCTACTAAGAGTAACGTCCCAGTTTCAGTGGACATCCAGTATATCAATTAAAATTATATTTAGTTATACATAATTTTTGCAATCTATAGTTCAGTGATAGACTTTTTGGAAGTATAGTATGATGTTATTCTGTCATTGGTATTGAAAAATTTTAATTCATTACTTTATTGCTGACCAGGATTAGTGTAAAATTTCTTCTGTTTTAATGCTAAACATCTGGAGGAATACAGAGTAGCTTGTTTATTTGTTTAAGACAAAACCTATATAGTTTTGATATATGTTGATTTGATCCAGTTTGGTCTAGTAGTTAATGCATCAAGCTACAACATGAGAGACTGTGAGTTTAAGTCTCGCTTTAACCATGAAAGCCAACTGGGTGACCTGGCCAGTCACTCACTCTTTCAGCCCATCCCACCTCACTCAGTTGTTGTTGTGGGAAAAATAGGAAATTGTGTTGGATATGTGCACAATCTTGATTTAACCGTTAAACCTTTTTTTTCTTCTCTTCGTTGTAAGCCGCCCGGAGTCCTTCGGGATTGGGCGGCATATAAATTTTATAAATTAAATTAAATTTGTAAAAATAAGGCATAAATAAATAAATAGTTGGTCTATTATTATTAGTTGTAGTTGTAGTAGTATTAGTATTATGACATAGAATTGTAATAAGTTGGGAGATTTTTTCATCAATATATTCATTATTATTGAATTTTTTGATTTTAATTTATTGATATGTAACCTTGCTGTTAGAATCTCATCTGGTTCAATGATTTGGTCATATAGGCAGACCAAATTGTAGGTTTAGCAACCAGAGATCTGCTTCTCTAGTTGAATTGAACATCAGCCTTAGTTTGAAACCATTATTATAAAAGCTGAGCAGGTTCATTTTCAGATGAGGTGGGTGAAATGAGGAGCCAGACTGTGGGGGCAATATGCTGACTCTGTAAACCGCTTAGAGAGGGCTGAAAGCCCTATGAAGCGGTATATAAGTCTAACTGTTATTGCTATATTGCTACTAATGGAATCAGCAAGTGGGTTGTTTGTTTATTTGCTTATTTATTTGATTTTTTTAAAAATCTCACAGTTATCATTTCATAAGTTACTCAAGGTAGGAAACACAGAATGAGGTATCCAAACATGCATGCATGTGTGCATACAACTTTGTGCATTTTTCTAAGTTGTTTTTATTATAGAATATTAGTATTATAAGCTATCCTGAAATCTCTGAATGAATGATTGCATATAAAGTTTCTAAAGTAAGATTACTAATTAGGTTGTTGGGGTGTTTTAAAAGTTATGAAAATCCATCTAAATATGGAGAATAGTAAGTAATTGAAATTGACAATAACTATGTACTAAAAGACTAGCAACACTTAAATGCTATGTACTTAAATGCTTTGTATAAAAGTCAGTCATTCACTTTATATTAACAGTGACATGCTACACACATTGAGCTATTGAATGTTCTATAACTATTTACTTTCTGTAACTTTCAAAAGCAAATGGAGCCAAATGAGTTTGATTCTATTTTATTTGGGGTCACATATGCTAAATATCAGTATGCATATTCAGATGAGCTAGTTTTAAAAAGATAGACATTTTAAATTTATTTCTAACATTAGTACAGTATATAATACAATAGTTTACTTTTCTTTAGCACTAATAAAAAAAACTTATAAGAGTTTAGCCAATTTTAATAGTTGATAATATACAAGTTCCCTGTATGTAAACCCTTCTGACTATTTTTTTTTCTTAATTGCAGTCTCTGTTGGAAAAGTTTTTGATTCCTAATGCTTCCCAAGCAGAAAGCAAAGTTTTCTATTTGAAAATGAAAGGGGACTACTACCGTTACTTGGCTGAGGTTGCTGCTGGTGATGACAAGAAAGGTACAGTGTGCACATTTTTAGAATTGTATTTTCGTAGATTCATATTTAGTAGAATAATAACTGTTGGTGAGGCTGTTGTTATAAGACAGTAAAGGAAACATTTTAAATGTTTTCAGCAATGGCAACATATACCTGAATTTTGCAGCAATGGAATGTTGTTTTATGGTAATATGCCCCAAACTGGTTCTTGGAAACATATTGGAATACAATTCCCAGCATATGTAAGTGAAGATACCAGTTGCTCAAGGATACAGATTTAAACGTGTTCATATTGATAATATGAATGCATACAATTAATTGTTGCAAGGTGATATATTTAGGCAACATCTTCATAGTCCTCTTTCACTGTTGTCTAACTGTATTCTTTATACATATACAAAAGATATATATTGTTTTCCAATATGTATTTTTAAGGTAGATGATCAGGTACGTTTCATAAGGTGATATAATAGAAGGACTTTTGGTACCTGGATGAAAATAGATACCATTTAATTTTTTTAAGGTTATCAAATACCTTATTAAAATTATGGCAGCTGCTGATTATATCTGAAATTCAGATGTTGGGCATGTAGTTTAAGCTGGAAAGGCTACAGATCTGGGTTATTTCTTTCTTGTGGCTTGAGATGTGTTCACTAAGAACTTGAGATCTATCAAATGTGATCGGACAATTTTGTCAGTGAGAAAATGTGGCTGGTTTCTAATCCAGAACTTTTGAAATGGTGGGGTAGCAAGATAAGAGAAGAATGAAAACTAACTGATCAGAAGGGGAAGGGGAGGGATGACAGATGGAAGCCAGAGAAAACTGAGTCAGTTCAGAGGCATTGTGATGGAAGCCAGTGGCAAATAGAGCTGGTGAACAGAGAAAAGGTTGAGATTAAAACAGACACACAAAATTATTTCCTGCTTTTCTCTTCAATTACTTGAGAAGGCAAAATTTTCAGACCTTATATTTGTTTGAAGTTGGGATGAACTGGTAGGCGTTGGAAGGTATTTGGAAGAAATATACAGCCAAGACCATTTCTTCTTCTAAATGAGAGTTAAAGGTATAAATGTAGAAGAAAATGTTGAAAAGAAAGATTTGTTTTGCAAATAATAGTTGAAATTAAAGTCCATTAGTACTGAGAAATTTTATGGGGTGGGGGTTGGGTTTGAAAATAGAACAGCCACCTCTTCAGTAGTATTTCTAGAAAGAGAAAGCAAGTGATATGTCAGACAATCAGATCTGGAGAATCGATACTTTTTCAAAGGTCTACTCAAAGGTGTTTCTGATAGTCTTACTTAGCCACTGAGGATATTTTTGCTGAAATCAAGTACAGGTACAAGGTGGTACCTTCATCCTGATAATTAATTATCACATACAATGATTTGCATTTAAAGGTTTCAGAATGTTTGGTGGCATACTTTTACTAGCTACATGATATTCCTGAAACAAAATATTTCTCCAGGATGACATGGCTATCCTACAAGGGAAGATATCTTTGGTTTAAGCAGTGGATGCTAACCCTTTTTGCCTTCAAATACAAAATGTTGCACAGGCCTAAGTAACACTATGCTATTTGTTTCTGGAACATTATTCCCTCCCCCCCCCCCCCCCATGTTCCATTTCTTCTGTAGAACAGGACGATCCAAGCATTCTGGTATGGTTCATGCATTTAAATTTTATCTTGCAGGGTCAGATTGTCCAAAATACTATAAATTACTTCCTATTGCAAAATATGCATCTACAAATGTTATGAATCACTCCCATATGCTTGGATCAACCTATTCTGAAGGAGAAAATGGAACATTCGGGAAATAAATTTCTCCATTTTACATATTGCTAATTAATACAAAATGCATAAGCAAAGCCTCCCCAAAGATTTCTCTTTTTGTTCATCTTTTTGAACAAAAGGCTAAGAAGACATTTCTAGCTTAAGGTGGAATTTGGAAATATGATTATCTATATCATATACTAGGCAAATTATTGGTGATTCATAGCATTCCTGTTCCCTTATATTTTGTAGACATAAGGATGGGAGTGCAAGTCCTAGCTGAGTGAATAAAATTGTTTAGAAAGAAAATAAATCTGGACCTTTGGGGGAGACAGGGCACAAATCTATGAAGTACAGCCTCTGCTTTCATCTTCTGTTCATATTGGGCAATGAAAACTTTTATTTCCTGTTCTTGCCACTGCAAACTATTACTGACTTCATGTGCTGCCAATTAGACATGATGGAAAATCTGTATGTAACTGTGTATCTCTCTATCTCAAAAAGAAAGATAGAAATTATAGGCAGATCTGATTCTTCTCTTGTCACAAGAAATAATTACCTAAATTTAAATGTACTTTGTTCAATTGCTGTATTACTATAATATATCTACTAATATCGTATTCATGTGTATCTGTGTATGTGACGCCTCATAACCTTAAACATTGATTCGGGATATTTAATGGATCAGTTTTTATCAGAAAACTGATAAACCAAAGCAAATACAGGTCATAAGTGACTTTTTCCAAAGCCATTGTTAAATGAATGGTCATAATCCTTGCTTAGATACAGTAATTGGAAACAGAATTTCCAAGGCTTAAGCAATGCAGTCATAAAGCACGACATCATGTGCCTGCATTACTTAGCAACAGAATACCGGCAGTCCCATTGCCGCTGTTAAGCAAGGACCTCATGTGACTATGACTTCCTACCAGCTTCCAACAAGCAAAGTCAGTGGGTAGCCAGCACAAAGTTACAAATCCTGGGCAGCTTTCAAGCGTGAGGCTCTCCCAAGCTCTGTTTTCACTGGCAGAGGCACCACGGGCCAGTCCTTTCCTGTTTCCCCACAGGCCAGATCTAAGCATCCCGAGGGCCGGATCTGGCCCCAGGGCCTTGAGTGTCAGGGTTCCAAGTAACATCCCCAACTAAAGAGGGCTCTGAGGCTTGAGTTTCCTCAAAGTTCCTTTTTATTAGAGATGCCATATTTTCACATCTGGGAACACCCAAATCTGAAAGCTTCCAGGTTTTCCCTACCTAGTTGAAAGTTCAAGACTCTGCCCAGCACCCACATGTCCGTCACATGGCCCAATCAGACCCTGTTCCCAACTGGAGATATTTCTCAAGCACACCCATCCAGCTGCAGGGGAAGTGCAGGGCAAGTTGTCCTTGGCTTCTTAAGAAAGGAATTTTATTTTGACTACATATAACCCATACTCCGTACAATCTCCCCCTCCCATTTTCCCACAGTAGAAAATGTGGCAGGCTTGAAAGGCCAATGTAAAAGATGCCTTCCAGGCCTGACCCTGAGTTTGACACTCCTAATCTAGAGTATGTTTACCAAAACTTTTGTAAGAAAAGTGAACCAAATAATTATGCAAGTGAGTTGTCTTTATTGATAAATGCATAGACAATTAGAGCTTCCTGAGATAATTGCCTCAGAACATACGGTAGGAGAGACCAAAATCTGTTCCCCGGGGATGGAAATACAGTTTTCAGAAAGGTTTTAGTACAATTTCTTTTTCAGATTATTGAGCAAGAATAACTAATGATTGTTGGACCATGCTGTATTTCTGTATCACTTTCCAATTGTGTCCTAAATACTGGTAGAGTGAATAACAGTATAAGGAGATAAATCTCCTTAATACAAATTTTGGCCAAATAATCAGTTTTTATCAGTTTTGAATTGCATCACTGGAGATTTTGGAAGCTACATGACAAACGGCAAGGTAACAGGTTGTTTCCCACTGTGATACCTTGCTGCCAATCTTGTGCCAGATAGGTTTCAGAGACTGGAGGATCTTATAGATGCAGAAGAAGGCAAGTCCAAGTAAAAGTGGCATCTAACCAGTACTGAGGGCTCTATGTGAGATTTGCACATAGAGAGTAAAGGTCTTTAATGGTTCTGGACCAGTAATCACATTTAGAATGTTGAGGGCACTATCAAAAAAGTTGCCACAGAGTAACCAACTACTGTAACCTACACTTAACTTTGTTTGTTATCTGGGTAGAGGGGTGCACCTTGAAAGAAAAAAAATTAAAATATTTCTGGTAGAACTGAACAATATTTCTGATGCTTCATGTTTCTGTGGCTATCCAGAAAGGAAGTAACTACTATGTTTACAAAAATGCTAGGAGCTGTATAGCAGATGACTCCTATGTCCTAGAAAAGCCCCAGGCCAATTACAGATAGTCTTTGACTTACGACCACAATTGAATCCAATATTTTATGACCTACCTTGCTATAGTTGTTAAGTGAATCACTTGGTAAGTTAGTAACCTGGTTGTCTATGGAGATTCTCAGTCATCCAGGTCATGGTTGTCCCAAAGGTGCTTTTTCAAGAGGCAACTGGCCTTTCTGGTTTTTCTTTGAGGACGTTTTGCTTCTAGAATGAGAAGCAAAATGTCTTCAAATAAAACATTTGAAGGTAACCTGGTTGTTAAGTGAATCTGGCTTTCCCATTAACTTTGCTTGTCAAAAGATTGAAAGGGGGGATCAAATGACCTTGGGACAAAGAAACGGTCATAAGTATGAACCAGTTGCCAAGCCATCTGAATTTTGATCACATGACCATGGGGATGCTTCAAGTGTTGCAATTGTGAAAAATGGTTATGTCACTTTTTTCAGTGCTGTTGTAATTTTGAACAGTCACTAAATGAACTGTTGTAAATCGAGGACTACCTGTATACCCATATTGTACTCCACACATGCATAATGGACAGGAAAGTGGTTTTCCTGTTGAAAATCTAGGAGGATCCAAGTGCTGATGGTGAATGTATTGAAACAATACAGGTAGTAATTGACTTACGACTGATCAAAATGACTTTTTCAGAGTTATGGCGGCTTGGAAAAGGTGCTTGATGATCCATAAGGCACTCCTGGATTATCATGAAACATCGTGGTTTCCCCCCTTCCTATGGTCAAGTGATCATAATCTGAGTGCTTGGCAACCTGTTCACATTTATAACAGGTTGCCAATTGCCCTGCGATCCTGCAATTGTCATTTGTAATCTTTTCTGCCAGCTTCCCCAGAAAGTCAATGAGGAAGCTGGCAAGGAAAGTTGCATGCTATTGCTTGCCAAAGGATTTCCCCTCTGCATGGGGGGAGGGGGGAATCTTCATCAGGCTGCAGAAATGAAGCTCGTATCTCTGTGATCTTTCCTGCCCCGTGCATGAATTCCCTTCCACATGGAGGGGAGAGGAAGTTGGATGCTGGGCAGGAGAAATGACGTGGGATCTTCACAATAACCACCTTGTTTCTCCAGTGCACAGAGGGGAGCTGCCTGCCCTCCATTTTAGAGTTCCAAGTAACACCTCCCCAACAAAAGAAGACTCTGAGGTTTGAGTTTCCTCAAAGTTCCATTTTATTAGAGATGTATTCTGACCCCCCCCTCCCCGGTCTGTGAATAAACCAGAACACAGGCTTGGCTGTTTGCCACTGTTCAATTACTGAGATAACGAATCCTTTGGCTGAGGGCCCAGGCAACTCACGTTCAATAGAGTAGCTCTGCAGCAACCCAGATAGAAGGCAATACAGATAGTCCAAACGAACAGACACGGCTAGAATACACAGATAGATTTTCTTAACTACTAATTCAAACGGTTGTTTCCTGCAAATATGCCCTCCCAACGCCTCACCTATAATCTCTCTATAATCA